CTCCCCGACCCGGCCCGTCCCAAGAAATGCATCTGCTGTTCCCCGGGCTGGAGAGAGAGGCGTCCAGGGACTCGGTCTTCAGACCCTCGCGGATCCCATTCAGCTGCTCCCAGGCTGCGCCCCCTCTGGCTTCTCCCTCTAATTTGCTCGACGCCACCAAGACCGACTCCGGCCGCGAGGGGGCGACAAAGCCCGGGCTCTGAGGGATTCCGTACCGCCGAGCGCCGCCGCCTCGGGAGTGTCAGGAGAACAAAGAGCCCCGTACCAGGGCTGCCCCAGGTGCAGTGAGACTTCCCTGGAGGGCTGCCCCCACAGCCCTTGGGCACCCGAGTTCTGACCCGTGACCCCGCGCTCAGGTGTCTCCGCTCCACCCGCCTCAGGGTGCTTTCACTTCCTCCGTCCGGCGCAGTCAGCCGGTTAGGCGCCAGATGGGCTGGGAGGCCTGGCGTCCAGACCCACCATGCCTCTGCCACGCTGTGTGCCTCGCCCCTGCTCCGCGAGGGGTGGGACAGGGGCCTGGATAGGCGCCTTCCCCCTACATTCAGGGCTCAGCTGGACCTCAAGGCCCCTGGCTCAGCCCAGCAGCAGGCTGGTCCATCACTGGGGTACCTAGCTCGTGACCACCAGTAGGCTGAGCCACTCGGCTGCCTCCCTACCTCTCAGAGCCTCAGCTTGCTCATCTGTCAGCTGTGGTTTGTAGCAAGTGCTAGAGCCTGTTGCTGCATGTGGAAGGCTGCTCAATGCTGCTCAAAGGCCCCTCCTTGCAGTCTTATTCCCACTTGCACTGGCATCTTTGTCCCACACCAGCATCCTCCCAAGGCAGCTTCGTGGTGGAGGTCAGGAGGCCTGCTGACTTTGGGCACCAGGCTGCCAGAGTGGGCAGTGAGCTACCACCATGCTCAGCAGCCTGGGTGCAGCCGACACCAAAGAGGCTCTTGCACTTCTATCAGGTACGTCCTCTCTCTGAGCCTCCATTTACTCAGCTGTAAAATGAGGACATCATAGCCTGCCCACATCGAAGGCACTGTGCCCTCAGCCCCCTGTGTGTCTGTTGACCCTCCCATCACTGGGTATCCTGAGGGCAGGCACAGGCCCTCTCTTGATCCCCAGATAGAACCTACCCTTGGCGGGTGAATATGGGGGTGCTGCAGCCTAGCTGGACATCCTCAGTCCAGGCAGAGGTGCAGAGGGCAAGGCCCTGGGGCAGGTCCTGCAGGCTCCATTCAAAATCCTGCTTTGCCCTCCCCCCACCTCAGAGTTGGCATTTACTCCAGTTCTGGGTCACATTTCCAACTTAATGATTCAAAACAAAGAAAGAAACCCAACCTACAACCAGCTGAGGCAGCCCCTCCTGACCACCCTTTGATATTTGAGG